ATCTGGGTAATTGTTGATCGATTAACTAAGTCAGCGCATTTCCTCCCTGTTAGAACGGATTTCTATATGGAAAAGTATGCAGAGTTGTATATTAGAGAAGTTATTAGATTGCATGGAGTACCTGTTTCCATAGTCTCTGATCGAGACCCTCGATTCACTTCTAGATTCTGGAAATCTTTGCATGGAGCGTTGGGGACTCGTTTAAACTTTAGTACGGCTTTTCATCCTCAGACTGATGGGCAATCAGAGAGAACTATTCAGATATTGGAAGATATGTTGAGAGCATGCGTAATGGAATTTAAAGGATCATGGGAAAAGTATTTACCGCTGGCAGAGTTCGCTTACAACAATAGTTATCAGTCTAGTATTAAGATGGCCCCATATGAAGCATTATATGGAAGAAAATGTCGTACTCCATTAAATTGGTATGAACTCAAAGACCGAAGTGTTCTTGGTCCGGATTTAATTCAGGAGGTAGAACAGAAAGTTCGAGAAATTCAGCATAACCTCAAAGTGGCCTCTGATCGGCAAAAGTCCTATTCTGATCTTAAAAGGAAAGAAATTGAATTACAAGTTGGAGATAAGGTGTTTTTAAAAGTGTTCCCATGGAAGAAGGTGTTGAGATTTGGTCGAAAAGGAAAATTGAGTCCTCGGTTTATTGGACCATATGAGATTGTAAAGAGAGTAGGACCGGTAGCATATCAGCTAGCTTTACCACCTGAGATGGAAAAGATACATGATGTCTTTCACGTTTCAATGCTTCGAAGATATCGATCGGATCCCTCCCATATTGTAAATCCAGAAGAGATCGAGGTACAACCGGATATGACTTATGAGGAAGAACCGATTCAAATTTTAGCCCATGAGGTTAAGCAATTGAGGAACAAGATTATTCCTTTGGTCAAAGTGTTGTGGAGAAATCACAAAGTAGAAGAAGCAACATGGGAGCGTGAAGAAGATATGCGACATCAATACCCTCATTTGTTCGTGCAATGAAAATTCGAGGACGAATTTTCTTAAGGGGGAGAGATTTGTAACATCCTCCATGTCGGGTGAGTGATTAATTTGCAAAGTTTCAACATTTGGTGATTAAAGTAGAATAATTATATAGTTTAAAAAGTATGGTTAGTAAATATGAGATGGAGGTAAGGACCAAATGGTCATTTGTAAGGAAATTTTAATTAAAATAAAATGTTATGGGGTTATATGAGAACCCACGTATGACATTAGGTTTCCAGAACCCTCCTATTTCTTCTTCCTTCTTCCTTATTTTCTTCTCTTCCTTCTCTCAACGTGGAGCTTGCAAGTAAAGGTAAGAATCTGAACCTTGGTAGTTTCTTTGATTTTTAAGATTGGAAATGAAAGCTTGGATGTTATATAAGCTAAAGGAAAGCTTATATGACATTAAAACAACAAGATAAGTGTTTTAGAGAATGATTTGGAAAATGAATTTTAGATGAAATTTTGATAGGAATGAGTTTTTGAAGTTTGAATAAGATTTTTGACTTGTCAAGAAGCTAACTAAGAAGTATGAGGTGTTAGAATTCAAATTAGAACATATTGGAATTTGGGTTGGATTCTTAAATTCTACATGGAGAATTAGATTTCTAGGTTTTAGAGGTATTTAATGGATAATAATTAGTTTAAGTAAGTGTATGAGAGCTAAGAGTATTAAAGGGATTGAAATATGTATGTTTGAGTTGAAATGAGATGATTTCCGGGCTCAAAATAGAATTTCTGGGTTAGGGGAATCGGTACCCATTCAAGGGGAACCGATACCCCCTCAACGAAATGAATTTCCAGAATGCTAGAGGGGAATCGGTACCCCCAGGGGGGAACCGATACCCCCTCATCGTATATGAAATTCCAGAATGCTTGAGGGGAATCGATACCCCCAGGGGGGAACCGATTCCCCCATGAGAAAAAAAGAAGAAAGAAAAGAAAGAAAGACTAAGCTATAAATTTCTTAAATTAGTAAGCTATTAAAGCTTAATTTCAAGACATAGACATCTGATGATCATCTTAAAAATTATGTTTATGTAGATACCGAGCCTACTCGAGTTCGGGAACAATCTACAAGTAGGATCGATCGAGGAAAAGGCAAAGAAGTATAGGTGAGTGCATATGCATAGCATGAATATAGTATTATATTCAGTTCTAGACTTGTGATAAGTCTAGATTCCATATTTTGACATATGATCACATTCCATATTATGATACATGACATGAATTTATATTAAATGTATTACATGACATGAATTCATATTATATGCATTGCATGACATGAATATGCAGAAAAAGTTATATGAGCTATGTGATAAAGGTATGTAAATGATATGCCTATGTGATAAAGGTATGGAAATAATATGACTACGCGATATGAACTACGAGAAATGTATAAGCCCATGTTATGTAGATGAGAACTATAGGTATAGTTGGCATGCCAGGGTAGAGGGTCTACGCGGTTCTTTAGGACATATGTATATCCTTTGGAACCTGTGTGAAGTCTTGAAAGACACATACTTGATCCATAGTATATGTATATGATTCTTAAGGAATTCTATGTGGTCCTTATGGACATCATTATATGGCACTACGGTGCAATTCTACTCGGTTCTTTAGGACATATGTATATCCTTTGGAACCTGTGTGAAGTCTTGAAAGACACATACTTGATCCATAGTATATGTATATGATTCTTAAGGAATTCTATGTGGTCCTTATGGACATTATTATATGGCACTACGGTGCAATTCTACGGGGCACTTCGGTGCATTTATACGAGCTGTGGTGACAGCATAGTGCACAACCTCACATTACTCCAATACCTTAGGTTCTCAATATGCTATCATGGGCCAATAAACTTATTAATACAGATTCATGAATGTTACAGTCATACGCTTACAGGTATGGATATTGATGAAGTATACTACATTGATTAAGTACATGTTTGCATCTCATCTCATATGATCCTGATATTTTCATTACATTACATTGCCTTATTATTATTATTGCCTCACTAAGTCGATGACTTAGCGTGTGAGTGTTTCACACGTAGGATCCGAGGAATTAGACGAGACAGGTGAAGCAGCTTGACAGTATTACTCCTGCAACCACCAGATCAGAAGCAACTTAATCAGTAGGTCATTTTGTTATGTAAATAGCAGTTGGCATGTAATTAAAGGGTTAAGTTGTGTATGCTCTGAATATTTTGGTAAACTTATATTATAGTATGTATATTATTGTATTTTCTAAATACAAGTTCAAATATTTTACTATTATTTATTAAGAGTTGTGTTTTAAAGTCAATGTAGTATCTCTGACTCATATCCGGGTCGGGTATGGGTTGGGGGTGTTACATAACCTATTTCACATTCTCATATAATCATATATATCATTCATATTAATTCCTATAACTTATCACACTGCATGCATTCACACAAATCGTTAATACATCCTATAATATATATATCACATATACCCAAATCAAACATATACATATGATCATACATTCAGGCCTTCTAATATAGGAAATAAACTTGTCGCAAGTCTTATTTCTGTTAAACATCATAAACTAACTTGTATGCACTCACCTGGCCTCACTAGTCAATTCCAATCTTTTATCTTTCCCCTTGATCGATCTTACTTGTCAATGATTCCGGAACTTGATTAGGCTCTGAATCTACAAAATTATACATTTTAAGACAATTATTAGATACCTACACCTTGTAATTTGATACTAGCAACTTAAACGAACTTATTAAACCAATATTAACAATTTTCCTTTAGGGGGAATCGATTCCCTACTATGGGGGTATCGATTCCCTCATGACATTCTGGAAATTTTTGTTCGTTTGAAGGGGTATCGGTTCCCCTTGAATGGGTATCGATTCCCCTTGCCCAGAAATCATATTTTTAGCTCGAAAATCACTTCATTTTCAGCTCAACACTTCATACTTCACTCACTTTAATATTTCTAACTTTCATACACATACTTAAACTCATTTCTAGTCCATAATCACTTCTTTAAACTCAAAATTCTATCATTTACATGGCATTCAAGAATCACACTAAATTTCCAACATGTTCTAAAACTCATTCTATCACTTCATATCTCTTAATTTAACCCTTGACAAGTCAAATTAAACTTCAAAATCTATTAACTCCTATTTCAAAAATTCACTTAAAAACTCATTTTTCTTAATTTCTCATAACTTGCTAATCTTTGAGTTTTAAGCCACCTAAAGCTTTCCTTAATCTTTCTTAACATCCCAAGAATCAAAACAAACTTTAAAACGAAAGAATTAACCAACTGAAGACCCACTTACCTTATACAAGGCTTCACGGTGGAGAGGAGGAAGAAGAAGACTGAAGAATACTCTGGAGAAATTATCTCATTTCCCACGTTTTTATATCCCTTAAAAGAGAATAAAAATATTCTCTTAGAAAAGACCATAATACCCTTGTTATTTCCAAACTTTACCATTAAATCCATGAACTTTTAACTTATTTCGAAATCGAGCACATAGTTTTTAAAATTTGCAATTTAGTCACTGACCCTGATTTAGGATGTTACATGATGATCCCGATGGGGGGCGATCATCCGAAGGTGGGCGAGATTCAAAGAAGCAACATGCACTAAAAGACGATCTAATCACATTCTGAGTGATGCTCTTAACACTAAAAATAACCCATGATTTAGGACAAATGCCTATTGGGGGCCATTGTAGGAATTGGAACAACAAGTTTGGAATGACAAACGTGTTTTCCTTACATACAACCATTTTTGTTGGTGTCAAATGATTTGTAAGTAATTAATGTCTGAATTTGTTTACTTGATGAGTATATGAATACCTCTTTCAAGGGAGGATTGCTATGAACTGAATAAATATGAATGTTATGTGGTTTGATCTTGATGACGTGGCTGGTTGTTTGCTGCATTTAAGTATGATTCGGCTACTAGTGCATATTTTCATAGATGTTTTTTGTTTTATAATCAGGGTTGTAAACACCAGTGTTGCTGAGTCGCTCAAAAAGTTTAAAATTGAGCTTGACTCGAAAGTTAAGCCTGTGAGGTAAAATTTTTCAAATTTGACAACTCGAAAGTTCGATTGAAGTACACACTCAAGCTCGATTCGAATTCGAATTCGAGCTCGAATCCGAACCTTAAGTATATGAAAGTTTTGTATTGATTATTTTTTGTAAAAAAAATATAAATGTTATTATTATTAATAATTTAATTTAAAAATGTTAAGTGATGGTAATGGAAGTGATGAGATCCAAAAGGAGGTTGAAGAGGATATCGACATTACAAATGAGGACATAATAATGGGAACTCAATTTGGGCTTCCATCTATCCAGCTTTTAGATCGAGCAATACAAGTTAATGGAAGCTAGTATGACCATAACTATCTATCTGATAATCTATCCATCGATGGCAGTCGTTAATTCAGCTCGTACCCGGGCGTAAACCAGTAAAAACAATCTAGCTGTTTATCTCACAATCTTCCTAAACAAACAGTGGAGCACTAATAGAAGCCACCAAAACCTGGTAATGTCAATGCTCTTTATTTATTTATTTATTCATTTATGTATAAAATATTTGGCAAAAGGACAACCTTTACCTCTGTAGTAGATTTAATTTAGAGAAAATAACCTCAGTGACCGAAAATGCCTTATAATATACGATTTTGATCAACTTTTTTCGATTTGCCAAAATGACCAACAAAATCGCAATGCGATCTCTAAATCGCAACGCGATCTCCAGTATCGCGAATCAGTTTCCAGATTCGCAACTCGATTTTGACTATCGCATTGCGATTTTCCAAATTCGCGTTGCGATTTTAGAAAATCGCAATGTGAATATGTAAATCGCAACGCGATAATACAAAATCGCAACGCGATTCTGACTATCGCAATGCGATTTTCCAAATTTACTTTAGTCCAAATTCGTTGCGATAGTCCAAGTCCAAGTTCACGACTGGTGGTATTGCATTTGTTTCTTAAGAATTTTCTCTAAAATGATAGTATCCGCGCAGACGTGTCGAAGACACGTATTACCACGACCACGACCACGACCACGACCCGAGACGGGACGACAGCGGCGGCGGTGCGCGAATCTTTTACACTATCGCAACACATTCTTTATTGTTTCAAACTAAGATCTTACAAATGGCTTGGGAATCTTTTACACTATCGCAACACATTCTTTATTGTTTCAAACTCCACATGAATTTGGAATAGTTAAAATGTAAACTTATTTTGGATTTTTCACTATCGCAACACTTTTTCACTATCGCAACAACACATTTTTCAAACTCTTGTAACACATTTTAACTATCGCAACACATTTTTCAAAATCGCGTTGCGGATCTGGATATTCGCGTTGCGAATTTGGAAACTGAGTTGAAAAATTAGAGTTCGTGTTGCGATTTTGTTGGTCATTTTGGCAAATCCAAAAAAAGTTGGTTAAAATCGTATATTATAAGGCATTTTCGGTCACTGAGGTTATTTTCTCTTTAATTTATCATTTTTGTCCTTATCGTATTTTCGCACCAACTTAACCCTCAAAGTTGATCAATTGCATCATTTTATATCTTACCCTTAAAATCCTAAAGTACAATTATATATCATTATATATCTTACCCTGACTTAAAATCTTAAATTATAACCTTAAATTAGAGTTTGAGATTTAGGGTTTAGAGATTAAGTTTTAAGTTAGGGATATATTATAGAATGATGTAATTGAACAACTTCAAAGACTAAATTAATATAAAAAATACATGAAGGGCGAAAACAATAAATGAAATATACTACATAAGCAAAAGTTATCATTTTATTAAATATTATATTTTAAATTTTAACCAACGATAAAAATATCATTAGCAATAAGTAGCTAAATAAAATATTAAAAATTCAAGTAAAGTATGCAAATGATCTATAATTATTGAGTGATGTTTTATTCAGTCTCTCGACTATTTAAAGTCATAAAATGATCAGTGGATTATAAAATATTGTTTTGTGGAGTCAATCGATTATTAAAAGTTACAAAATAGTCACTCAACTATTTATTATGTTCCAAACTCATCAATTTACGTTAAGAAATTGATGACAGTCTAAGCTGAAAGTTAACTTATTGATTATGATATGATAAAATCTGATCTTAAAATCTCAAATGACTATTATATCCTAATCATCATGTTAATATTTAACTCAAACGGTAATTAATTTTTAATAAAAAATAATAAATTTGAAACATAATAAATAATCAAATGATAAATTTATAAATTTTAATAATTGATTGATTTAATAAAATAACCTTTTGATTACAAAGTATAATTTTATAATTTTTAATAATTGATATAAACTATAATCGGATATCATTTGTACTCTCTATCCTAAAGTTCTTGAAAATATGCATATAGTTCGTATCAGATCTCTGCAACTTCCCAAAGAAGAAAAAGAAGAGGAAAAAAATGCGAGCTAAGCAAATGCCATCGTCCTCCACCAGATCCAAATCCCAACGCCTCCTCCTCTTCTCCGTCCTCTTTCTCCTCGCTCTCTCTTTCCCCTTCTTCTTCTCTTCTTCCTCTCATTCTGCCGCCTCCTTCTCCTCCACCGTCTATACCCACCCGCACCCCCGCGTCCAGCCCGAAACCTCCTTTGTCGCCTCCCTCGAAAACTTCCTCACCCACAAGGCTCCCAGCACTTCCGACGATACGGTGCGTTCCGCTCTCCAAGACGACGTAACGAGGTTCGACGACCGAAAGTTCGCCAAGGAAGTGGAATGGGTGCACCGAGATCCGTACTACCCGCTGAATTTCCCGATTAGGGTTTACGTTTACGAGATGCCGAAGAAGTTTACCTTCGATTTGCTCTGGTTGTTTCGGAATACTTATCGAGAAACATCTAATCTGACCTCCAACGGTAGCCCGGTTCACCGTTGATCGAACAGGTAAACTTATCAAGTGTTCAGGTAAACTTATCAAGTGTTCTAATTTTATTCCTGTTTGAAATCTGCTTAAATTCTCGACTGGAGTGCCTTGGAAAATAAACGGGAAACTGTCCTTCATTTACAAGAAAATGGTCCGTTTGTTATAGTTCTTACTTTAAATTATGTTGTTATTCTGGTGGTGCAGCATTCTATTGATTATTGGCTGTGGGCGGATTTGATTGCACCGGAATCTGAAAGGCTTTTGAAAAATGTTGTGAGAGTTGATAGGCAGGAAGAGGCAGATTTGTTTTACGTGCCATTTTTCACCACAATTAGCTTTTTCTTGTTGGAGAAGCAACAATGCAAGGCCTTATATAGGGTGTGAGTGCATTTCCAGGTTTTCTGATATTTTATATCTAAATGTTCGTATTAATGTGCCTTTTATTCTTTAAGAGAGCCGAGAGGCGCTTGGTTCCATTCCCATTCCGCTGATTATTTTTTCGGTCTTTGGTATGTTCATGTGTTGTCGTTTTGTGCTTACTGGGTTGGGTATTCAAGTTTATCAATGTTGACAATTTAGGTCAATGTATTACCGAGTGCTTGGTTTCAAAGGGAGGTAGGGTAAGAAAAGAAAATCATAATTGGATCAAGTCCCATGTATTTTCTAAATTGATTATGTTTTAGCTTCTTTGTGTGCAAGTGATTCTTAACTATGGTGCAGCCACTAAGCTCAACTCTCAATATTTAATTTGTTAACTTGTTTCCGTGGGTCCTGTGTCATAGTATTTTATTGTAATACATCAATTATGTCATCCTTTTTTATTTCCATTTTTTTGTTTTGATTTCCCTTGGACTTCGCCTGGATCGTTGCATGTGGACATTTTGTGGTATTAAATTTTAGAATTTACTTATCTTAGGCCCCTGCTTTGTATGGTTTTCAGGAAGCCCTGAAATGGGTGACAGATCAGCCTGCATGGAAACGATCTGAAGGAAGGGATCACATATTTTCCATTCATCATCCATGGTCCTTTAAGTCTGTTCGCAGATATGTGAAAAATGCAATTTGGCTTTTACCAGATATGGACTCCACCGGGAATTGGTAACCACATGACCATTGCAAATGAGATTTATTATCTTGCTAGTTTACAGTCATTTCAATCTCTGAAAAGTGGTATTCTAACATCCTAGGTACAAGCCAGGACAAGTTTCACTGGAGAAAGATCTCATTCTCCCATATGTTGCAAATGTTGATTTATGTGATGCAAATTGTGTGTCCGAAAGTGAATCAAAGAGAACCACACTGGTCTTCTTCCGTGGACGATTGAAGAGAAATGCTGTATGAGTTCTGACTATCTTATTAATCTGCTTGAATTTTTTTCTTGAATTAAATTTGAATATTTGATAGAATATGGAAGTAGGATAATATTTAGGATTATTGTGTGGATGCATGTGCAGGAGATCTAGCCCAAGGACATGCCATTTCTTTCTTTATTTTTTCAGACACAAGAATTGTATGACAGGAGAGAAATATTGGAGGGAGCGAGCGAAGAAGGGGGACATTGTAACAACCATAATCCTATGTGTTCATTGTTTTTCCATTAGGGTCGATGGGTATTTGGTCTTTAATATAAAGACTTGCCAATTGTTAATTCTAAACAGAAGAAGGCGAAACAAGTTAGAAAGATGCCTTCTTGGGCTTTCTTTGTATGCGTGTCTATGCATGCTTGCTTGAGAGTGAGAAAGGTTGGAATTGAAAGCAAATAAAAAAATTAATGATACTGAGAACACAGTTATTCTGAAGTATTTTTTCCTTTAATTTTCTCTTTGATATTATTTTGGTTCTTGTAAATGCTGCATTTTTTCTAATTGATTTGATGGTGTTATTTACCTGACCCTTGTGTCTTTTTTTAAGGGTTGGCTGGCGAATAGATTTACCTGTTTTGTCTTCTACATTCACTCTCCTATGTCTCACATGCTAATGCACTCATTCGATCTTTTGGATGCTTAATTTGTGGTTTGTTTTTCAGGGAGGAAAGATACGTTCTAAACTTGTTGCAGAATTAGCAGATGCAAAGGATGTCGTGATAGAGGAAGGAACAGCTGGGGAGCAAGGGAAAACTGCTGCTCAGAAGGGGATGCGCTCGTAAGATTGAATGGTTCTCCTTTACAGTCTTGTTTCCCGCTTCATGATAATGGTTGTGTTGTTTCCCCTGTCATCAGGTCTACATTTTGTTTAAGTCCAGCTGGTGATACTCCTTCCTCTGCTAGATTGTTTGATGCTGTTGTTAGTGGCTGTATCCCTGTTATTATTAGTGATGAACTGGAACTTCCTTTTGAAGGAATATTAGATTATAGAAAGGTAAGCAATTTTTTAAGCTTTAATTGTTTCTGGCTTTTTCCTATCAAAAAAAAAATTGTTTCTGGCTTTCCTTCGATGCATTGTGGCTACCCTGACATTGCTTTT